CTGCTGCTTTAGAAATTTTGGTAAAATTTAAATTATTTTTTTCAACCCGGGTTGTTAAAGTGTGGTGGGCAGCAGAAAGTTACGGTCAGACTTTTCAAAAATAAAATAAATTTGTAATAGTCATCGCAGTTTTTTGAAAAATAGGTTCTTATGTAGCAACTTCACAGCTTCTTCTGCAGCAGTTTCACAGCTGTTTCTTAAAACAGCTACTGCCTACAGCTGCCCCAAACAGACCCTAAATTGACTCCATCTAAACATTCAGAGAACTATTTTGACAATTTACTCTTTTTCTTACATAAGAAAAATAGTCAAGCTATTTGGTTTTCTTTTCTTTCATAAGTTGAACATTTGTTTGCTTTTTTCCATTAAATTTTGGGGCATTTACATAAATACCATCCACTTTTTTATGTATTTACATATCTAACACCTAAACCTTACCTTTTTCATTTATAACACCCAAATCTTTCATATCACAAAAAAAAAAAATCACGATTTTAACTTTTAAAAGGTGAAATACACCCTTCATGGATAGGTAAAGTTGGGATGTATGTAAAAACTGAAGTTTAGGTGTTAGATAGATAAATAATTAGAAATTGGGCAGTATCCATGTAAATCTTCCTAAAATTTTATAGATTGAAAATAAAGTCTCCCAAGAGACAAACAAGCAATAGGAATGTGCATCATGAATCTAATAACAAAACCTCCTTTTCAATGTTCAACAATGATTCATCAAGTTTTAGCAAAGAGCAATCGCATTGTTACAAAAAGTAAAAGTTGTAAAGAAAATAAAAACTTGTGGAATGATATTGCTTGAAATAAATATGAATCACCGTAAACATAAAAATAGTAAGCGTTGTCAGTTTATTGTTTCATAAGGATTCCCAGTGAAAATTACGATCTTGTGAACTCAAGAGAAAAGTTTGAGCCAATTTCCAAAAGCATAAACAAGGATTTGAATCAGTTATGAGCTAATATGTATTTAAGCTGGTAGCAGTCCCTGATGCACAATAACTATCCAGATAGTTATTATAGCTGACTTGTCCTCACTGCCTTATTTAGATCAAGATTGATTAAGTAATAAAGTTATAATCAAAGGCAATTTACTTTAGAGTATCCATTCCGGGGGTTTCCAAAATGAAAGATCTCTCATTTTTTCTCTATGATTGTTTTCCTATTTTCAATTTTCTTAGATGATGAAATCCCTCTTGTAAATGAATGCTTTCAAGTAGTGCAAGAACACCAAACAACATTAAACACCAAGAATCATGCCCTCGTTGTTAAAAAAAAGTTAAGGTTGAAAACAATAAAGTTAAGTAATACATAAGGCAAGTTAGATAATTCTATCTCTCTCTCTTTCTCTCTCTCTCTTCCTCTCTCTCTCTCTCTCTCTCTATATATATATATATAAAGAGAGAGAGAGAGAGAAGTATATATTACCTATAAGGAAAGAAAAAGTTAATTTTTTTGTCTGCCTTCTTGTTTCCACAATAATTATCCTTCAATTGAAAAAAATGAAGGTTTTAAGGGTGCTTCTTTGGAGAGTTCTAGAAAATAAAGGTGTTGATATGACTTATATTCAAGTCATTAGAGATATGTATACTGGAGTAATTACTTGTGTTCGAACAGAAGGAGGATTGACCAAGTATTTTCCTATTTAAATTGGATTACCTTTGAGCCCATATTTTTTTGCTTTATGCTATTTACTAATGATATCCTCCATATGGATAAGACTACAGAAAAAGTTTAAAAAAAACTTGAATTATGGAGGTTTACATTAGAGTCTAAAGACATACATTTGAGTAGATTTAAAATTGAATACATGGAATGTAATTTTAGTAATAGTAGACCTAGTAGTAGAGTTATAACTATGGGTGTGAACGTTTTAGATATCTCGGGTCTATTGTTCAAAGTGATGGTGATATAAGTGATGGTGATATAGACGTGATATAGACGGGGATGTTTTTAGTAGAATTCAAGTTGGTTGGTTGCAGTGGAGCAATGCATCGGGCCTATTGTGTGATAGAAAAATACTACTTAGACTTAAAGGAAGATTTTCTAAGATAGTGGAGAGTAGGGATGTGAAAAAAGCTCATTGTTAGCAAACAGTTCATGTTCAACTCGCCGGGGAGTTTGTGTTCGATTCGTTCGATAAGCAAAAGAAACGAACATGAACAATTTTTTTTGTTTGGTTTATAAACGAACCAAACATGAACATTCGATCGTGTTTGAATCGTTATTTTTTTAATAATTGAATCATTTGTAACTTATTTTCAATAATTTGTAATAACATAGTTGAAGAAATAATATTATTTTAATAGAGGGATGTTATTTATTTTTCTTTTGGTAATTTGAGAATTAATAATTAAATTTATTATCAATTTAATAATTCAAACAATACAAACAAATTTAAAAGATTTCAAACAATTCGAATAATTCAAACAATTCGAATATTTCAAACATTTCGAATTAATTTCAAACAAATCAAACTGAACACTAACAATTTTGAACATGAGCTTATTTCAAACACACTTAATTTCAAACGAATCGAACACAAACACGAGCTCTGTTCGTTCGTATTTGGTTCATTTACACCCCTAGTGCTGAGACCTGCAATGTTTTATGACGCAGAATGTTGGCCTTTGAAAGAGAAAGAAAAAAGCTAAGTTAAGTATTGTTGGATGAGAATAATTTGGTCGATGAGCGGCTTAACACTTGGTGACAAAATCCAAAACCAATGTATCCGCCAAAGGGTTGGTATGGCACTAGGGGGAGACAAGATTAGAAAAAGTCATCTTAGATGGTTTGGTCACACTAAACAACGACCGTCTAATGATTTGGTTAGCAGAGTGGATGCTTTAGATTCGACTTATGCTAAGAAAAGTAGAGGTAGACCTAAAATGATTTGGCGTGTTGTATAAAAAATGATCTTAATTTATTAGAGTTAAATGAAACTATGACACTCAATAGGACACAATGGAGAAAAAGAATTTAGTTAGTCGACCCCACTTAGTGGGACAACGGCTTGTTGTTGTTGATCAAATCTCAATTAAGTGAAGTTTAGTTAATATTGGCTTTAAAGATGAAGTTAGTGTCTGTTGACCTCAATTTTCGTGAGGTCTAGTATTCCTCGTAGGAGTTAGGATCTAGCCTTAGGGGTCTTCCTGCGACTATCTTAGAACCTTAGAAGTGGTGCCCGCCTCGTTTTAGTT